AGGAGTGGCTGGTGGGTTTGAACCGCCAGCCTCCTGGTTAGCAGTCAAGTGCCTTAGGCACTATGCTACCAGAGCTCCTGTAGTTACCCTAGTTACCCTAAATACTAAATGTTCCCAATACTTTTTTCCCAATATTTTTACAACATATGGAAAAACCATATTAATGAAGATATTCTGGATAAAATAAAATCAAAGCTATGTCATAATTCACTTCTGCTTGCAAAAGAGAAATGCAAAACATTTTTTCAAAAAAGAAAAAAAAAAAATAGGTAAAGGATCCATTTGCTTTTCAAAATCCTGAATCAGTAACTGAGTTTGACTTGGTGAACACAACATAATTCAGGCAGCTGAATTCTTCATTAAACTTAAGAATAATTACATGAAATTAAATAATTATTAATAATTTTAATAATGATATTAAAAATATCATTATTTTGGGTTGAGATTAAAGAGGAATTCCTGTTGCTACATAGAAGCAATAGTTGATTTTATTCCTTTCACCCTGACTTATTTGTGTAAGCAGGATTCTCACAATGATTAAAAATGGAAAGAAAGCAATTCAATAGTATCCAGCACAAGCCTTACCATGTGTGCTCTGGACAGGAACTTAGTGGCAAGTACACCTGCCCAATGAAGTAAATAAATCTTTCCTTATTTTTGTATTTGTATTACTTATTTTGGATATTTTCTAAAATATTGAGCTCTGGTGGTGTAGTGCCTAAGTATTTGACTGCTAACCAGAAGGCTGGTGGTTCAAACCCACCAGCCATTCCTAGGAAGGAAGACTGGGCAATCTACTTCCACAGAGATACCACCTCGGAAACCCAAGGAGGGGTCGCTATGAGTTGAATCAACTCGACAGCAGTCAGTTTGGGTTTTTTTTGGTTATTTAAGTATTGTTGTTGTTGTTAGGTGCCATTGAATAGTCTCCGACTCACAGCGACCCTATGCACAACAGAATGAAACACTGCCCAGTCCTGTGCCAGCCTCACAATCCTTGCTATTCCCAAGCCCATCGCTGCAGCCACTATATCAATCCATCTTGTTGAGGGCCTTCCCCTTTTTCACTAACCCTCCACTTTACCAGCATGATATCCTTCTCCAGGAAATGGTCCCTTCTGACAACATGACAAAAGTAGGTCAAACAAAGTCCAGTCATTCTTGCTTCC